CTTGTTGAAATTGTTTGTGGTGTTAAATTGCTTGAGCATACTTTTGCTGATAAATATATTTATTGATTTGTGATTGTTAAACATACCTATATGACCATGATGTTTAACATTGTTCAAATTTGTTTATAATGTTTGGATCTTGTGAATTCTTTGAACTTGATTATGTTATACATAAGTGTTTTAACTCTTGATTTGTGATTTTAAAAATTGATGATTATCTTGTGCTCAAATAATATATATTGATGTTTGATTGTTCATTTCTTAACTTCTTATAAAATAATCTTGAAGTATGATTTAATTCATTATCCTTATTAATTCAAGATTTATTTCTTCTCTTGTGTTTATAAATTAACGAACTTTATGTACTTAAGTAATATATATTGATTCTTTGTTCATCTATATTTTTGGTCAAGATATGTGTTCATATGATGATTGGTTCAACTTGACCTTAATACTTGTGATTTGAAAGTGTTTAAATTATCTATTTTTAATTTGTGAAATACTTTTGTGAAATATGCTTATTTTTATGCTTAACCATTAACCAATCGATCTCTTACAAAAAAGGATCGATCGGTTAGGCTATTTTCAAGTGAAAAATGGTTCAAAACATGAACTAATCGATCCCCTCAAGCAATGGATCGATCGGTTCTGGGCGTAAGCACACCAATGACTACTTTTTCATGATTCCAACTGGCATTTCTTCACTCCAAGCTTTCCCAATGGCTACTTTTTCAATTTCTTTATAAATTGGGCATTCCAACACACTAAGATGATTGATAAATCAAGAGAGCAAGAGCCAATAAGCTATATTTTTATTCTCTCAAATAATCAAGATTTTTTAAAGCTTAAAAGTCTATATCTTTGTATTTATTGTATCCAAACTATATTTGTTGTTCATTCATCATTTTCTTGTACTTAAACTTAGCAAACATTTAGTCTTAGAGATGTTGTTCAATTGTTTGCAAAATTACCTTTGATATACAAAGGTGGAAGAGAACCAGAGGTGATGTATCTTCTTGATATTGTAAAGGTAGAGGTTGTTATCTAAGCTTTGAGAAAAAGATAAAGATTTAGTATAAGATAGGCTTGTATCTTGTAAGAATTTTTCTTCAATTAGTGGATTGAAGCCTTGGTGTGACAACCAAGAGAGAGAACATAGGTGCCTTGTGGAGAAGGACCGAACGTCTATAAATAATTGTGTTTGATTTTTCTATCTCTATCTCCTTACAATTTATTGTTGTTTATATTTGATTTTAGGTTCATTAATTATTATTGTTAGCATTATATTTTCATCAAAAGTGCTTATTGTTTTAATTTCTATTCAATTATATTGAAATCATTTATTTAGGAAAAATTTGAAGAAGTCCAATTCATCCCCCAAGTTTCATCTAATTAATTTAATATATAAGTTAATATGGATATTATAATAATTTTCATAAAATGTCACATGTCAAATTTTTATAAAATAATGATAAAGTTATTTATAAGTTATACTATCAAACTTTAGAAAAAAGTAATTGAATGTATATTACGACTTGAGGTCACTATTTCTAAAAATCAATTTGGATTTATGCAATGACACTCTAGAACAAAGGTGATCCACCTTTTGAGGCTTTTTATTTAAGGGTTTTCAGGTGAGAAAGAAATAACTATATACGGTATTTATCGACTTGAAAAAAGTATACAATGGAGTTTATTGAGAGGTACTTTGGTAAGCTTTAATGAATAAAAGAGTCCCTTTTAAGTATATAGACATAGTTAAAAATATATATGAAGTGGTAATGAATATAAAAATGATTGGGGGCATGACATATAATTTCTCTATTACCTAATGATTACATTAAGGCTTAGCATTAAATATTTTCCTTTTTGCATTAATTATGAACAAATTCATTAGATGTATCTAAGATAAGGTGTTATACTATATGTTATTTGCTAACGATATAGTCTCAGTGGCTGAAACTTGCGATGCCATGAATAAAAAATTAGAATTATAAAAAAATACATTAAAGTTTCGAGATTTTAAATTGAGTAAATTTAAAATTGAATATAGGAAATACAAGTTTAGTTGTCACAAAGAAGTAGGTACTAGCATGATTAAGTTAGATGGCGAAGGAGTACCAAAGAGTATCCAGTTTTGATATTCGGGATTAATTATTTAAAGTGATACTAAGATAGAAACAGATATCAAACATAGGATTCAAGCATAATGAACGAGGTGGCGAAATGCATCGAATGTGTTGTGTGATCACAATATACCTTTAAAGTTAAAAATGAAGTTGTATAAAATAATTGTAAAGCCTACGTTACTATATGAAATTGAGTGTTGTGCTATTAATAAATAACGTGAGAAGAAAATAAATGTAGCGAAAATGAAGATATTTAGATAGATGTGTGGTAATACTAAAAAAAAAAAAATGAATATATTTGAAAAAAATTAGGGATAATTCGAATTAAAAAAAAGATAAAAAAAGTTGTTTGAAATGGTTTGGACTTGTGAAACGTAGGCCTAGCTGTGCACTGGTTAGGAAAATTGAGTCTTTAGATATAGGAAAGATCAAAACATCTAGAGGTAGACCACGAAAGATATTGATGCAAATAACAAAAATAATATGATGGTTAAGAAATTAAATAAAAATGTGATTATTGATAAAAATAAGTAGGGTAAGTAAATTTAAATTACAACTTAACTTGATTCTCTTATTAAGTTTATCTTACAATTAATTTCAGAGTATGAGATATAAGATTTAGTTTGTTGTTATTTGTTGTTGTAATGATAAGGGTTTTTTAATAATTTAATATGTGATTAATTTTATTTTATGCTAAAATTTAATACGTAATTATGATAGAAGAGACATTTCATAATTATGGTAAAATGACTATTATAGTAACTTTGATTAATTATAATAGAGAGAGATATTTTTATAATTTTGATAATAAAAATAATATAATAATTTTAATCATTTAGGAAAAGAGGTATATTATTATAATTTTTGTGATGTAATTAAATATATATATATATATATATATATAAGAGTATATTTTCATAATTTTGATAAAAGGACAATAAAAAATATCACGCATTATCGAATTGGAAAGGAATCCTAAAAGTATTAATGAAATTTCGATGGGGTTTTCTTGTAATTATAATTATAGATTTTGAAAGTTTTGCTTAGTCCACCTGTCTAATTGTCAACCCATAAGTATATAATCTTAATACCAATTATTAAACATTTAAAAATAATAATTTTGTACTATATGATTGTGATACTTTCGTTCTACAATGTTATTTATACTAATATATAGGGTATGACATAAGTCATACACTGAAAAAAAGAAAACCAAATATTTTAACCCACAAAAGAAAATGGAATGACCAAAATCCATGCATATGTTGATTCTGAATTTCTGATCGAATCCTCTTATGCCTCCGAAACCAGTTTTAGTAATTAGAAACTCAAACCATTTAATATACTTAATAATTTTCCGTTAAAAAATGACCTTTTGCCTTTGTTAGAATTCTCAAACAACTATATGTTCTAATAAGTAGAGGCAATTCTATAGATTTTGATAATTTATATATTTATATTATATTTATTTCACATTAAATATTTATAAAATATAAATATTATTGTGACATAATTTATATTGATATGTTAAATATGAAATAAATTTTTTATTTTTATCAAATTCATATAAGATTTTTTTTAAATTTAAATATTTTATTTGCGTAATTTTTTTTGTATTATATTATTTTATTATTTTTTAAATTGTTAAATCTACTATTTAGATATACAACTTTTAATCTTAAACGTGAAATAATAATTTATGTAATAATTAAAATATATTTAAAAAATTAATAAATTTATAATCCTCATACAATTATATATTAGTAAGATTATTCTCAACTTGAGTCTTCAATTCCGCAACAACACTGGTCTGACTTGATTCTTGCACGTCTTTCTGTTGCAGCATGATCTTTATTTTCGGTTTTTGACCATTTAAGAAACGCTTAGGCCCCACTACCTTGGGTCTCAAGCCCACACCAATAACTACAGTAACTCGCAATGCAGTGTGATCAGCCTTGAGCCTGGCTGACTCTTCTCATGAGGTGGACACCGTGGCTTCCAATGTCTAATTTCGTTGCATAGTGCTTCCAATGCCTCGTTGAGACAATTTAATTATATTTAAATATTAATTTATAAATATTTTATTTATTATTTTACTAATCAAAAGATAATTTGTTTATTTTAGATCAAAATATTATTTTTATCGGTGTAAGTGTTAATTTTGATTAAAAAATAAAAACGTGACAATTAAGTGGATTCTTGAAAACATAAAAGAGTTCTCCTTTTCTTTATTTGATATTTTTGAATATTTCATGATTTCATCGTCACAAGAATTTGAAGGGTTGGCTTCTAAATGAAACGCGTCATCTCTGACAAGTAAAGGCCATGATTTCCGGACACGGGATGGGAATTCTAACTTCTTTGCTTCTACGTTTAACCAAACTTATGAAGTAATTAATTACAAATTAAAAATTGAAACAAAATTACTTTATTTTTATTTTTAAAGCAGGAATTTTCTTTACCAATCATATTACTTTAACCCAATAATTTGTACATTATAATTTTCTATTATTACAAAAATTTAGGTAAAAATTTTCTTCAAAATTTCGAAAAAGAAGAGTTAATAAAATTAGCAAATACCTAAAAAAAATATAAAATAAAAATGAATTTAGATTTACTTTTTTAGGCAAAAAAACAAAAAATAAATGCAATTAACACTAATTAGTAGCATCCACGCGCGAGAGAAGTTGATCATAACATCAAGGTTCAAAGGATAAGGCTTACGTCAGCTATCCCCACCTAAGACTTTCACGTCCGCTGTAATCCATGAAGCGTTTTCAACACACGCGCCAAAAATTACGGGTGGAACCTATTACTTCTCTTCCAAAAAATACACTTATTTTATTTTTAAAAAGAAAAAGGTGGCGTGATCATTCAAAAAACGTGTCAATACAATAATTTTCTTTCAATCCGAACTCCGAAACTTTTCCCCCCTTTTCTTTATTTTGTTTTGGTTTCTGAAAATTCCAATTCATTAGAATAACAACATTACAGCGTCACTTTCTTTTTTGTTTCCCTCCAGAATTTCCTGAGAAACAAACAAAGATTTAACTATCAGAAAGCTCCATCTGCTAATTCTTCTCCAATCAAACAGCGGTTTAGATAACTGCCCCCGAGTTTATCCATTTGACTTGTTTTAGCAAAAAAGCAGATAAAAATCCTATTTTTTTTCTTCGGATTATAGGGTTTAGAAAATTTTCATCTTCGAATTTTCAATCGGATTTTGTCTGAGAAAAAAATGATGAGAAGACCACAGCAAAATCATCGACTTCAGGATCAGCAATCAAGGGTTTTCTACGAGTTGTCGGCGCTGCTTCTGAATCTTCTACGATTGCCTCCGAAGCCGATGCCTTTCACCGAACAATCTCCGTCGCCGACGAGGCCTCATCCCCCAACGACATCGATGGCGACAACGAAGATATCGCCGGCGGGATTCGCTTGGCTGATGTTAGGGATATCGGTTTCGTTGATGCTGTGTGGTTCAGTCACTTTCTTTATAGGGTTCATGTTGATGCCTTGGGTTCTTGGTTTGGTCATGGTATTTTATGTTGCTGGCATTGTTTCCATGGTTTCCATGTTGGGTCGTTCTATTCTTTGTTACGCCATGGCCTCTCCTTCACCGCGAAAGGAAATTCCCGGTAATTTTTTTTTATTAATTCTTCTTGAAAATACTTTAAATATATGGATCAATGTTGTCTTTTACATTTTACATTTAATTTTGTTTTATGTTATAACTTATTAGTTATTACCTGTTGATTTCCTGAATCGGAGCTTTCATGCTTGAGATAAATTTGTTTTCTTTTATTCTCTGATTGCATGCTTCGGGGTGTTTTTTTCCCCCTATTTTCATCTCTTTGGTTGTTGTGTTTGATTTTCGTGACGAACTAGGAGAAAAAATTTTTCGGTTCTAGATTCTCCTTTTATTTTGATTTTTTTTTTGTTAATAATTGAAAAGTCATTCATATAAAAACCAGAGAGAACATTTCGTAGGATCCTTTATATATATATATATATATATTTATTTATTTATATATAGTACAAGTGACTTTAATTTCAATATCATAATAATAATAATACCACTATGCTATAGGAATTGTAGGTTTGGAGATTAGGGTTTTCTTTCTAGATTGAGTGTTGAATGAATAAAAGATGCAAAAAGTGCATGTTGTTTATCTTAGAGTACTAAATAGATTATTGTGAATTAAATCTCATATTTCCCCTAGTTTATCTCTTCTGGTCCCAGGAATTAAACCCCTTTTGTCCCGTTTCTTGCATTTTTTTGGGGATACATATATGATCTATTAGCCTTAGCTAAATGGTTGTTCACCTGTTCTGCTAAAATTTAGCATTGGATATTTTAGAATGGTGGGTGGTTGCTTGTTTCTTACTAGAGCAATGGTAAACTGTATTTTGAGAGGTGAGCAACAAACCTAGAAAAAAAGAGAATTTGCAGATTACCTGCGGAAAACTAGGAAACAGAGCTTAATTAACTCTTTCAGGTGGTTTTTTATAATCCTTAAAACAAGAGATAGCTATAATTGACAGGGTTTTGGAAGCCCCACCCTCCTTGAGACCTGATTTTTCTCCTGCATTTTATATTTGGAATATTAAGAATGCTTTTGAATACGTTGTTTACTCTTTAGCAAAATATACTTGCCATTTTGTCCAATCTTTAGTTAACTGTGTCCATTGATCTTCGGTGTGTACTTCTTGAGAGCCTTTTATGCAATCAAAGCCGAATTTTTCTTCTTATGATACTGGAAAACTTTGTTAAGAGTGAAAATAAGTTTAAGAATGGATCAAATAGGTGCATATCAAGTTTTGTTTTATAATGTTTCCATGTTCTCTTTACTTTGTTGGTTAGAAGTGTAATGAATGCATTATCTTTGTAGTTTTGTTTTGCACTCATTTGACATTATGGGTATAGCAAGTTCAAGATATGACAAATTGCTGGTTGGTGGTTTCTTTGACAAGTGGTGGAATAAGACAATAATAAATAATGACTTGTCTAAACTGTTATTGGCTGATCAAAATTGGGCAAAATTTTGAAGCAGACTGGCTCATTTTGACTTTGGGTTTGAGCTTTGGATCTAACTCTAGATAAATTGAGCTTGCGGTCGAAAATTATGACATTGTTTAAGGTTATAGTAGTTTCATGATTTCAAGTTGTTGACCTTTTTTGCAGCTAATTAGATTAATTACCATGTTGTATCTGATATCTCTGCTCTTCAGTAATCATTTGTTATCATTTATGTTTTGCATGGTACAAGAGGTTTTCAAATTCTTGTGAAGAAACAATAGATTTTTGTTTGGGCTGCTAATTGCATGAAATGAAACATGGTAGTTCGTTGTTGAACGGATTGCTTTTTTGTTTTTTTTTTTTTTTTTATGTTTTCCCTTCAGTCAATTAAATGTATGTAACATTTAAGAGATTGCTGATAGGCTTTTTGTTGACGATTTGGCATTGCAGCATGGAAACTTTTGTGAAGAGAAAAGGTGGCTCGGACAGAGAGTTGGAACGCCACGGAGATTCGAGCAGCACTTGGGTTATTGCTAGTGGATTTACCAGGTTTCTTCAAGTATTAATGCAGGAAATGTGGATAACATACAGTTCAAATGTTAGTGAAGTATGTGGATGTGGCTTCTTTGTCTAGTTAAAGTAGTGACTTGTCAAAAGATTTAACTGATCAATGTGTCTTGTTTTCTTATTTGCGAGAGGAAACGGGACAGTTATTTCCCATTTCTTTTCTATATTCAATTTCCATTGGATAGGCCTCTGTCTCTCTCTCTCTCTATTTTTTTTTACTGTTAGGGAACAAACTAAATAGAAATATTTTTTTAACGGCACAGACGGCATTTTAAATTTGGCTTGTCTACAGTGCCTTCTCCATCGTTAACGTGGTCAATATGCAGGGTCAATTTAAAGGGAAGTTCTTTGAAAACCAAAGGTTCTTTTTGTTGTTTGTTTGCTTGTTTTTTTTTTTTCTGTTTCAAAATCTTCAGAATTAATCGGCATCGATATTCTTATCCAAAAAGGCAGATGAAAACGAGCAAAAAAGGTATTTTTACAATATCGAAGGGACAGGTGTGAATAAAGAGGGCTTTGCTGCTGCTGGATTACACGACTTCCTCTCACCCTTGTTTTAAGTTATTTTAGTTCTATAAAATGGCAGAGCCATTACGGCATAACCCAACTGCCTCCTTTGTTGTTTTCTTTGATATTAAACAGTCAGTGCTCAACTCAACTCCGCTTAACAAAGTGAACAAACTTCTGATCTTATCAGTTAATCAGGCAAGAGCTTGGGTAATTGGAAATATCAGATATCGAAGGCAAAAACAGAGACTCGGAACACGAACAATAATGTTATTTGTCCAATTATTCATATTATTCTAACACTGCATTACAAAGCACATTAAGAGGAAGCATCAAGAGTAATAGATCGCAACCACTACCAAACCAAAGTAAAACCATCACTTTCCATTAACAAATCACCAGGATAATCAAAGACGCAGAAACGAGAAACATAACACTATAAAAAGGAAAAAAAAAAAAAAAACAAATGTAGAAGTAGCTATCCTATCCAGTGTAGATGTGAACACCTATGGCGATGAGGAAGATGGTGATGAGGCCAAAGAAGATTATGGCATGGACAAGGACTGAAATCCCACTCGTTTGCATGTTCCCAAACTCCACCACTTTGTTCCTCCCTGGCAACTGAAACAACAACCCTGGACTTAACAGCACAAAAAGCACCACTGCTATCACCACCGGCCCCCAATCCGCCATGCTTCTTAATTTCTTTACAAAACGAATCTACCCTTTTTGTCTCTTGATGGGGTATGAAAGGAAAATCAAACAAACGGAAACTTATATAGCTGATGAAGCTGGGAATTGAAGATGGAACTCTGAGTTGTCATTGAAAGAAGAAAGCAAGGAAGGAATACGATCTGTTTTTCAGAGCTGAGGAGTATATGTGAACTGCAAGAAATCGGGTTAAAGACAAAAGGCAAAGGACAGCAAATGCATGTCGACATCGTGGTTTCTCGACGGATGCCAGTGCAAAAGCTACGTAGCAGCATGATGGATCGAATTACTGTCCGTGTAGTAGTATGTCTCTGCTAATATAAAATCGTTTTATGATTAAGAACCCTGATTGTGATTTTCTTTTTCTTTTCTTCTGTTTTTTCCAGATGATGGAAGAAATCCAAATTGCAAGCAACATGATTTCCATTTCAGAGTTTCGAAATCTGATCAAAATTGCAGTAGTTAAAAACAACTCAATTAATTCGTATCATCATTATTTTACTATCATTTCCCCATATCCATGCTGCTCATTTGTAAAAAAAAAAAAAAAAAAGTTTTAAATTTTGCAAGCTAACATCCCCACCAACCACAATTGAAAGGTTATGAGAGGTAAAAATAGGAATATTCCAAGTTAAACAAACAAATTAAACCAGTTTAGTTTCTTCTCAAGATAACAGACATTTTAAAAATAAATAACAGATTAAAGCCTCTGACATTACATAGTAGAGTAAATTGTAGGGAGCCTAGAAAATACTGATTATAGGCCACAATTGTATAGTTATATTAGTAGCATAAATCAGTAGTCAGATTAGATGTAAGGAGGAATGATTTGAGATATTAATTTGAAACTTTCAGCTTGAGAAGTGGATTCTGACTAATGCCCAAGATAATATTGATTAACTTTTATTTAAGCTCAATCAAATCTGGCGGAAGCCTACATCAAAAGCAGTTGGTGCATTGTATCAGAAAACTCCAAAGTCAAGGCCTGTCTAATCAATTTCTATGATTTCATGGCTGAATTGGATTTGATTGTTGTCAATGTTTTTTTGTATCACTCAATAGCATAATTGGCATTCTGCTGCTAGCTTTCAGGCTTCAAAATTTTTCCTTCTTTCCTGTTGATGATGAGCATGTAAATTCATTTGATGAAAAGATTTACAAGGAGTACCCAAAAATATAAGCAGAACCATTTTAGAGCATTAGCTGATACAAGTTACACATAGGAAATTTAGTCCAAAAAAATATCTTGAAGAATATATGCCAATTTAGTCAAATCAGTTTATTCCTTGGGGGACATTTACATGAACTACAAGAAGTTACTTTATTCCTGGAATTGATAGTAAAGCTGTGAACACTGAAGGATTGATTCTTTAGACTTTGAAAGCTGGAAGAGTAGCTTGCCATTCCATGCCAACTTCAGTACCATGGCACATGGAACACTAAGAGTTCCCTTTTTGTAGCAGCATTATGCCAGATAATACAGCATCAACCCATCACGACGTTCTACAAACGATTAATCAAGGTATAATCTAATTCTAGTATTCCTGTTAGGATACTTCTAGGGAAAGAATAATTGAAGAAAAGAGTTGTCTAGACTAAAGTGCTGCATTGCGGAACAGAGGAAATTGCGAGAGAGAGACTCCCCCCAAGGAGAGCATCTCTCTTTTGTTTGCCTGTTTTTAACTATTTGCTAGTGTCGTGAAATAAAATTATTCTGTGGTACATGCGGTGATGGAGACAATGGACCATGTTAAGGGAACCAGTCTAGAGTAGATATTCCCAACTCTCAAACCGAAGATGACTGACTTGGAGCGATCCTTTTCTTGGAATCAGGTAAATCACTATTAGGGGAAGTTACACCAGCATTGCTTGCTTGAATTTCCGTCATCATTGCATCTGATTTTACCGGAGTCTCGACACATTATACAGGCAATCCTGTTATCAATTTGAATGCCAGAATGATTAATAACCTGAATTACTAAGGCCCATGCCAGAAAAGGGGGGAAGGTGGTCCACTACCTTGCAAATCCCTCAGAATTAACTTCTTCCAACACATTAACTGAAGAAGAACTTTCCCTCTAGAATTCATCTGCCACTGGATGAGGGAACCTGAACCAATAACTTGTCCAACTCTAACTGAGGCTGTATGAGGACTCATGTTATGATGTCACTATGTCAAATGAAAGAGGGATATTTATCTCATTAATAAGCTAGCTGAACCAGTCAGTCATCATGATCAATGTTTTATCCATAAAACTACAAGCCTTTGTTTTACAAGCTTTAATATTATCAACCAAAGAAAGGCATCTGAGTCTTGAAATAGAGACTAAATTCAGTATAGATATATCAGCTGGTTCTACAAGCAAGCAGCTGCATCAGTACAAGTTGGGTTTTAACTTTTACTGTTGAGGAAAAAAAACATTACAATTGTGTTAGTCTTCTCAAGTGGATAATTCTCAGACACCTCTACTTCAAGATAATGTCGGAGACACAACAGCTTCTGGAGAAACCGACCACATATTATAGTACTTTCATGAGATAGATATAACATTTATGGATCCAAAGTTTCAGTGCAACTGAGAACTACCTAGAATTATAAAACTCCGCCAAGCTAAATAATCTAAAAGAAATTTTGGTCGAATTGATTGCAAGTAAAAGGAGACGTTCTCCCTGCCTAATTTGGTCGAATTGATTGCTAGGAAAAGGAGAAGTTCTTACCTGGCAGGCCACGTTTAATCTAGCTTTTGAAAAGAAAGCATTCATAACTGAGGTTAGTTGAATATTTTTTTAAGTGGATGGTAGCCGAAGTAGTTGTTTTTCATAGTCAAGTATTGCAGCATATGATCTAAAGTTCTGAATTGAATTCACCGTGCTGTCAGTCCATCAGTCAAAACGTTTAAAGTCTAGCTCCATAATATTCGACGGAAGCAATAATTTTTTTTAATTGAAAAAAAATACTTGCGAGTTCAGAACAACAGAATCAACAAATACAAAAGAGCTTATGGCATTAAGCTCAAGACTCAACATTAGAACGTGAAACAAGCAAACATGACAAGATTACAATTGACTGGAATAAGATAATACTCCACAACATCCTTAATCAGATTATATAAGACCACATTTATGATCAACCTATATACAAGTGAACCTTAATGGCAAGCAAGAAGACACAAATGAGCCCAAAATACAGCAGGGAATGGATCAGAATCGAAGCACCACTAGTCTTAAAGTTGCCAAACTCCACGCACCTGTGGTGCCCCGGCACCTGAAACAACAACCCTGGTGTTAGCAGCACGAACAACACCACTGCCACAAAAACAGGACCCCAATCCGACATTGTTTCTCCTACAACAAGGTATCTGACAACTTGGGTAAGATGCAAGGGAAGTGATTGGTGCAGCTGATTAATGGAGTTGTGAGAGTTGAGAGTCAGTATATATGCAAAGAAAAAGTGGGGGCAGATAAAGAGAGAGTGTGGAGAGTAGTGTGGGGCGGAATTTAGGAGATGAAGTCATTTGGATTCACTGCCACCGTCACATTTGTACTGCTGGGTTTCTTCCTGTCGTATCCTTTGACAACTGGCACCAGAATAACTTGCTTCCCATTCTTGCTCTTCCGTATTATGATGGTATATCCAAAATTCCAAATAGTTTAATTAGGTATAAACCTTTACTTATTTTATATATCGATAGGAAAATACAGCCTGTATCTGCAGAGAATATGTGATGTCCAAGCAAATTAAAAGAAAACACAAGAAAAAGGATCCCACCTATATTATTGGTTTGATTATTTTATGAGTTTCAAAGTGGAAAGGAAAGGGAAAAACAGAATTGCATGATTTTTGCGATTTACATTATTATCGAGATGCATCCTTTTTAGCAGACTGCTAAGGAATGGATTTTGAGTTTTGAATTCATATTTTGTTTGCCAAGCCTATTAGTATTTAGTAGCATTTTTGTAGAAACAAATTTAGGGAATTCAAAACTATGATTTAATACAGTGCCAACATTTTGGAAGAAAACTAATGAACAGGTCCATTCTCTTACCAACAGTGCCAACATTTTGGAAAATGAACGAACCAATCAAATTCTGGGAACTTATCATAGAGGGAAAACATTGGCTAATTGATTGATTTAAAATGAACTCTTGGTGCATGAAAGAGTCAGACATATATCTACATAAATACTTGAAAATCAATGGCTAATTGTCCTGAAGAATGAATGAAGGATGTCTATTTCTCTGTTAGCATTAAATTTTCAGTGTATTTGATTGTTCTAATATCCATGGAGTTCTATATTTATTTCTTCTATCTGAGAGGTGATACGTTATATGCATGACCAGGTTGGTAATGTTGAAACTTTAAATTGTTACTATGCTCATGGAGAGCAGAACCACTGTTTTCAGAGACGTAGCTATTGGATGCTGGACCCGTAAGTGTACTTGGTAGTTTATTTATTTATAGCGTTTCATTTCCTGATATGAAACATTTAGTTATGGGGAGGCATATTTGCTAATAGTTTAGTACTTTGGCAGGGCATATGAGCATATTGTTCTAGTTCATTATAGAGAGATAAATGAGGTAAGTTTGGATATTTAGACTAATCACGTTGTCTCTTTATGATCTTTTTATTCTTTCTGTTTAGAATTAAATCTTTCCAGCCCAACTTGCTTGCTCTAAGCGTGGTTTCCTAGCAAGTTGAGTGGAATTTGCCATCTCTTTTGAGGGATTAGTTTTCTTAAAACTTTGTCTTCTTCTCTGTGTAGCTGGTATCCAATATAACTTCACCGTTCACCATGAGAAATAGACATGCTTTACTTTATCTTCTAAATTAATGTCACTCTTCACATTTGTATACAGGCTAAGCACAGTTCGGCATCCATTGTGTGGTCACCAGTATCCTCTTCTGCCTTTAGTCCAAGTCCAAACTCTTATAATTCTCAAAATCCTGGATCCAACTCTCTAGCTTGCGATGTACATCAAACATATCAGAATTTGTCTAGTCCAGGGTCTGTTGAAGTTAGTTCTGATATAGTTATTAAGCACAATGAGATAGATAATTCATTAGAGTATACCATTCCGGCTGATCTTCAGGTTAGTCAAGCTTTAAAGAGGCTTGAGGAGCAGTTAAGTTTGAATGAGGACAGCTTTAAAGACAGTTCAGCATCCATTGTGCGGTCACCAGTATCCTCTTCTACCTTTAGTCCAAGTCCAAACTCATATACTTCTCAAAATCGTGGATCCAACTCTCTAGCTAGTGATGTACATGAAACGTATCAGAATTTGTCTAGTCCAGGGTCTGTTGAAGTTAGTTCTGATATATTCATGAAGAACAATGGGATAGAGAATACAGTAGAGTATATCTGTCCAGCTGATCTTCAGGTTAGTCACGCTTTAAAGAGGCTTGAGGAGCAGTTAAGTTTGAACGAGGACAGCTTCAAAGAAATGAGTCCTTTCTGCAGACTGGATGGGACACAGATGATTCAAAATTTCTGGAATATGGAAGGAGACTGCCAAGCAGGACCCACAAGAAGATCTACTGTATGAACCAGATGATATCATTCAAGATCACCTTTATTCTCAACCTGTTGGAAGAAACTTATGATTTAATACAGGTCCATTCTCTTACCTTATAATGCACGTGTGAAGCCATTGATGGTGCCAGTTTCTCATTTTCTTGGGGTCCATTTGTGTTCTCTTCCTTATCACTTGAGCTGCCAATCCTCGACTACAATTCAAAGTAAATTCCTCGTCTACGGTAGGCAGAGTGGGAGCTTCTGATTGAGATTTTGCGCATCCATCTATTGCTAGGATTTCTTCAACCGCCTCTCCAGTCATCATTCATAAAGAAAAGACGTCAAACATTTTTTTTTTTCTGTAAGAAGTAGTTAAGTTATGCTACCTCAATTCTACTGAAAAAGCATTCAAACGAACTAACCTAACGATAACCGATAAGTGGTTTGGTAGTCGGGTATCAAGTTATAATCGAGCTCAGTCGAGTCGATATAGTGAAAAGCTCGAGCTCACAACTCGCGGCTCGATACTCGGCTCGAATTCGATCGAGTTTTATTTTTCAAACTCGAACTCAATTCGTGATTGAATTCGAGCTACTTGAACTCGCTCGATTAAGCTCAATTAATATGTAAAAATAAACTCAATTGATATATTTGATAAGATTTCGATTATTTATGCTCGAGCTCGAACTCGAATTCGAAATAATTTATTAATTAAAATAATAAAAATATATTCAAATATAAAAATTCGATTAAGCTCGCGAGCTACTCGAGTCGGATATAAAAATATTTGAATTCAGCTCGATCGATAAGTCGAACTATTCGAGTTCAAGCTCGACTCGATAATAATCGAACCGAATTCGAGTTTTTTTCGAATCGAATCTGAATAATTTGTGAGTACTAATGTATCATTTACACCCCTAATCGAGTATATTGAAGTGATACAATAGATTGGATTAACGAATTAAAAATGTTATTTTTTTCGACTTTATTTCAAAAGCAAAATCAAGTTGGTTACATAGTCAACAGGAACCATGAAAACAAATTAATATCATGTAGGGGCATTAATGCAAGTTGATGTTGTATTTTACCATGAATGAATTCACTCGTTTTCTGCCAGCTTACTTTAAGCAGGTATGACTTAGACAAGGTAGATAAAATATATGATCCGTGTCTTTTCACTCACTTCACTACACTCTCCTCTACAACAACCCTTTTCCAAGGATTCATGCTTTAAAATGATGCTGTCTAAAGGCGTGTAGTACAAAACCAAGATCAGAGTAGAGAATAAACTATAGATTGTATATCATACATAGTCCAAAGATATGGAATCGAGTTCAAGTTGAAGGGTTTTGAAGATACTGATTTTAGTCCGAACAGAGACAGGCTAATCTGAAACACTTATTGTGAGCCTATCAGGCCCTTGGACTTAACCCCTTGGACGGGAGGAAAGGAAAGATTAAGATGGAGTGGAATTGTTGGGATTACGCTCATACTTTTGAGTATAGACACTACGCTAGACAGGGCTAATGCAAAGTGGTACGTCCGTGTCAAAGAAAGGAAATGGTTACACAACTTTTGGGTTTTGCGATACAAATTTCCAAAAGCATTTAATAAAAACAAAGGCACCCAACCCAGAATTATGGAGGCCACTGACATAATTTCATTCCAGCCTTTTTGTGAACGTCAACTCCCGAAGACAGAAAGAAACTTCCATTTAATCCTATTTTTCAACTTGCACTGTCTTTTTAAGCTTAAAGGATAACGGAAATTGGAAACAATATTTATGTGGTAAGGGGAGCATGAGTTCCTAATCATAGGTTCCACCACCCAAAATAAACAAATACCAAGACAACAGTAAAACACAAAGGGCCCATGTGTGTTAAATGCACCTTACAAATTTGAACAATAGGTTAAATAGTAGTTCTCATCATTAATCTCAAAAAAGCTGATGCATAAAAAAAAATGGAGACCAAACAATAACAATCAAATTTATTAAATTTCACCCAAAAAATTACACTAAATAAAAGAGGTTCAACCATGGTTATCAGTATTGTACTGGTATCCGCTTATACATATTAATTTTAGGGATGCCTACTGATATAGATACCAATACATAACAATACCAAAAAAATATACAGTACTGGTTACTTTGGGTTCAACAATACCCTTTTATATTTAAAAAAAATTAATACCCTTTTATGGATGATCAAATAATTATATATAAAATCTTATTTTTCACATAAAAAATAATAATTTGAATCAAAAACTGGAGCAGGAAGGAATCAAGGTTCAAACTTTAAATTTTAAAATAGTTATTAATCCATGTACAAACAGACCACGTACGATGAGTTAGCGACATCCTTGTACTGTATGTAGGTGGTGATAAGTGGATAACATAGTAAAATGAATATAGGGGCGCCGTCAGAATCAGGTACCTTTGGCACGTATTTTTCTGTTGTTAAAACAATAAAATGTCTTAAAATATTCAGCGCGTTAATGCATTATCTCCGAGGTTTGGACGCTAGCGGCCACTTGCTCAATGTTAATACTAATGCTTTGCCCAAACCCAACGGCCCTTTCATTTCGCCGCTACTTCTTATAAATAAAGAAATAGATTCTCCACGACCACCTACCTAACGCCATTGGAAAATTGTGGGCCTGCCTTTCTACTATAACATAATTAAACAACGACGTCAATGCTCAGAAGTCTATTTCCTTTTACCAAAATTTGCCCCTCAATTCATCACCCTGGCATCGGTTGCCCTTCAATTTGAGACAGTCCGGAACTTCACGATGAGGACAATGGTCAAAACATGGTCAATGGGTTTATCTCATTGGGTGTGGTCAGCAGGGGTCTCATCTCAAATAGCTAAAAGAGTAAAAGCCAAGAAGCCGTGATCGGCTTTCTATTAATATAACCAGTCCAAACTTGCCACCTCACTACAAGACCAAACCCATCATTTCATTATTCATTCGGGCACCAGCAGATTCCAGCGCGCCTTCGTGGTTCCAGTGGTGATTCCACAATACAAGGCCCAGCCATTCAATGACGGAGAAATTTGAAGTCATATTCCAATCCCTTCTTTTTATCTTTTCTTTCTTTTCTTTCTATATGACTTACTGTTAAGAGCTTAAACTTAAACCTGTTTCAATTGTGTTTCCTTAACTTATCCCTCGCTTCCAATACTTCCACCCTTATTCCGGCCCCGGTTATTCCTATTCCTGCAGGATCTTGGGCTTCAGCTTCGGTTCCTCCTCGATCTAGTAAACGTCTTTGCTTCAAATGACCACAATCCAATCGTTTCCTCCATAGTTCGTTTGGTTTTGAATTTCTTATAGGAATTAAAAAAATGGAGCAATCAGGTAAAAAAATTAGGACTTTTGTTTTTGAATTTCTCTCTTTACTGTTTAAGTTAGATTAAATCTGATTTTAGGGTTAACTAAATTGGGAATCATTTGAACAGAAATTTGTTTCTTTTTTTTCTTTTATTTCAATATTAATCTCAGGGTATGATATTAATAATCTATTTCGAGAAGCTCAAGCTCGGTGGCTGAAGCCAGCTGAAGTACTCTTTATACTACAAAATCATGAGAAGTATCAACTCACGCAGGAGCCTCCTCAAAAGCCAACAAGTAAATCGTTTAACATGAACTTCAAACTTCGTTAATTTCAATTTTAATGCTATTACATTACATGTTTGGATATCACTATTATTAACTGGAATTTTTTGATATATTTTATGTTCAGGTGGCTCTTTGTTTCTTTTCAACAAGAGGGTTCTTCGTTTCTTTCGTAAAGATGGTCATAGTTGGCGTAAAAAGAAGGATGGAAGAACTGTCGGTGAAGCCCATGAAAGGCTTAAGGTTTAGTCAAACACCGCCTGCATTTTAATTATTGGTTTTTTTCCTTTTTTCTTCTATCACGTCACGAGAGATAAATTTCTGTAAAATGTGTGCTTTTGTTGTTTGGGAAATGAACGAACCAATCAAATTCAGGGAACTTATCATAGAGGGAAAACATTGGCTAATTGATTGATTTAAAATGAACTCTTGGTGCATGAAAGAGTCAGACATATATCTACATAAATACGTGAAAATCAATGGCTAATTGTCCTGAAGAATGAATGAAGGATGTCCATTTCTCTGTTAGCATTAAATTGTCAGTGTATTTGATTGTTCTAATATCCATGGAGTTCTATATTTATTTCTTCTATCTGCGAGGTGATACGTTATATGCATGACCAGGTTGGTAATGTTGAAACTTTAAATTGTTACTATGCTCATGGAGAGCAGAACCCTAGTTTTCAGAGACGTAGCTATTGGATGCTGGACCCGTAAGTGTACTTGGTAGTTTATTTGTTTATAGCGTTTTATTTCCTGATATGAAATATTTAGTTATGGGGAGGCATATTTGCTAATAGTTTAGTACTTTGGCAGGGCATATGAGCATATTGTTCTCGTTCATTATAGAGAGATAAATGAGGTAAGTTTGGATGTTTAGACTAATCATGTTGTCCCTTTATGATCTTTTTATTCTTTCTGCTTAGAATTAAATCTTTCCAGCCCAACTTGCCTACTCTAAGCATGGTTTCCTAGCAAGTTGGGTGGAATTTGCCATCTCTTTTGAGGGATTAGTTTGCTTAAAACTTTGTCTTCTTCTCTGTGTAGCTGGTATCCAATATAACCTCACCGTTCACCATGAGAAATAGACATGCTTTACTTTATCTTCTAAATTAATGTCACTCTTCACATTTGTATACAGGCTAAGCACAGTTTGGCATCCATTGTGCAGTCACCGGTATCCTCCTCTGCCTTTAGTCCAAGTCCAAACTCTTATAATTCTCAAAATCCTGGATCCAACTCTCTAGCTTGCGATGTACATCAAACATATCAGAATTTGTCTAGTCCAGGGTCTGTTGAAGTTAGTTCTGATATAGTTATTAAGCACAATGAGATAGATAATTCAGTAGAGTATACCATTCCAGCTGATCTTCAGGTTAGTCAAGCTTTAAAGAGGATTGAGGAGCAGTTAAGTTTGAATGAGGACAGCTTTAAAGACAGTTCAGCATCCATTGTGCAGTCACCAGTATCCTCTTCTGCCTTTAGTCCAAGTCCAAACTCATATACTTCTCAAAATCGTGGATCCAACTCTCTAGCTAGTGATGTACATGAAACGTTTCAGAATTTGTCTAGTCCAGGGTCTGTTGAAGTTAGTTCTGATATATTCATGAAGAACAATGGGATAGATAATACAGTAGAGTATATCTGTCCGGCTGATCTTCAGGTTAGTCATGCTTTAAAGAGGCTTGAGGAGCAGTTAAGTTTGAACGAGGACAGCTTCAAAGAAATGAGTCCTTTCTGCAGCCTGGATGGGGACACAGATGATTCAAAATTTCTGGAATATGGAAGGGAGACTGCCAAGCAGGACCCACAAGAAGATCTACTGTATGAACCAGATGATATCATTCAAGATCACCTTTATTCTCAACCTGCTAGGGTGGAAAATTATTCAAATAATTTTGCGCTGCTTTCAGATGGAGGTTTGTTTGTTTGCCATTTCTTTGGTGATCAGAAATGCCACAATTCATGTGCTGTACTGATTTTTTATCCTCCATATTTACTTGGACATGATTTGTTTTAGTTGAGTTAGAAGTAGGGTTTTTCTTACATATTTAGTTAACTATCCTGAAAAGCAATTTGCCGTTTTTCTCTTGACTTTGTTGGTCATAATAGCTTTTCTGCATTTATGTGTGTGTGTGTATAAACTTCTAATACTGGGTTTTGACAGAACAAAGCCTAAAAATTGAATATATGCTATATATTGATAGTACAAAAGTTGAATATTGTGGAATCTTGGCTATAGAAAAACATTGAAGCCTGTTATAAATCTTAACCTTAACTACATTCGTAGATGCTTACATAGATGCAATTGCCATAAGTTGATGCCTAAAATACACTAGTATTGGAATTCTGCAAACTCAGAAGAAAAACTGAGGATGTTGGATGAAAAGGTTTAGAATGGCCCTAATGTTTATTGTTTTGTTAATAGAGGCAATAATCCCGACTTTGGTACCATAACAAATTTAGGAACATGAAGAAAGATCTTTATTTCATAAATTTTTATAGCATTATAAAATTGGAGAACTTTGGGCTATCTTTGATTATATGTGGAGACATTGTTTATTTTTAAATTACCATGCGACCAGTGAAAATTGACTTAGGCATAGGTCTTTGCCCCTATATGTTAGACACCCCTGCCCCTCTTTTAATCAAAGCAAAAAAAAAGTTCCTATGTCTACAGTACACAGTAAGAAGAGTAGAGCAGTTGAAATCACACCCAAGGTATTCCCTATAGTTAGGAAAACTGTAAATTTCAAAATTTCCCCAACCCCCCCCCTCTCTCTCTCTCTCTCTCTCTCTCTCTCTCTCTCCAGTCTTCCCCAGAGAAATGGAGAAGGAAAATGAAAGGAAAGAAAAGAAATATAGAAGTAAAATTTGAAAACATCATTCATCAGTTTGATATTTCATATTCAAATTTGTGGCAAGCATGAATATCGGACAGATGAATTGTTATCAAATTTAATGGCTAGCCTCTGTTTTTGTTTTTCTTGGTTGATTCTTGAATATGATGGATAAGGAAGCTGAAAAGAATTGCTACTCTTTTTCTGTAGGTAAAAATGGAGAACATAGCCAAGTATATAGCAATGATAATTCAGATGGAAGTAAGGAATCTCTATATTGGAAAAATGTATTAGACTCATGCAAGAATCAATCAGGTGTCGACTCCCAGGTAAAGACTTTTCCTCTGTGAACGGAAATGTCAAAGCACGGAAAGTGTTTTAATATCCGCATGCTAATGACCCTCTATTATATATTTATTTGCCACGACATAAAGGTTCCCTTTGATACTGAGAATCTTGTTTCCAGCCTTATAGTTCATTGCTGTGTGAGCATAAAGCACCAATACCTCTATAATAAGCTGTTTAAGTATCCTTTTGTAATTATTCAATTCTAGGTTACTTTTTAGCTGAGGTTTTATTGCTGGGTCTGTGGTTTGGGCCATAGACCTGTTGTAATCCCCTACTCAAAGGTGGGTACCTGACCGCATTTGCCAAAGCTCAGTCTTTAGGTTACTTTTTGGACTTAATATGAGGCTATCATTTTTTTTCCTGCTATAAGGAGAGTTTCGTTGTCCTTAAAACAGGGAAGGCCACTATCTTCTTCAAGGACAGGACCCACTGAGCAACAGGAACAGTCTGTTTGGCTGAATTTCAATGGATCAGACTTGAAAGATTGTATGATCTCCTTCTACTCTTGATAGTAGTCTTGACACTAGAAATTCTAGTATCTAATTTATTTTGTTAAGATCTGACTATCCCTTTCTCTGCCAGCATCTGTACTGCTATGTCAAGAAGCTGAAAATGTTGAAATTCCTTCATATTCTTCTGCAATACAAGCTATTGGTACCAATTCTGATTATTATACGATGTTGTGCAACCAAGACAATATAGAAATTCCTCTTGCAACAGATTCAAGCTTGACTGTTGCACAGAAGCAGAAGTTCACAATTTGGGAAATTTCTCCAGAATGGGGTTACTCCAGTGAGGCTACAAAGGTGCGTGTCAAGGAATTCTATTTCTGTTGTCTCTAAAATGCTCTTGCTTCAGGAAGTTCTTTATCTCTACCACTGCAGTTAAAGCTTAAAAGTTTAAAGCATATTTCCAAATGCAGGTCATCATTGTTGGATCTTTTCTTTGTGATCCATCAGAATCAGAATCTGCCTGGGCTTGTATGTTTGGGGAGACTGAAGTTCCTCTTGAGATCATTCAGGAAGGTGTTGTCTGTTGTAAAGCACCTCCTCACCTTCCTGGGAAGGTCACGCTCTGCATCACCGATGGCAATCGTGAGTCCTGCAGTGAAATCAGAGAGTTTGAGTATAGAGTTAATGCTAGTAGTTGTGCTCGGTGTAATTTATCCCACACAGAAGTTCCTAAAAGTCTGGAAGAGCTATTGTTACTTGTCAGATTTGTACAGATGCTTCTGTCTGATTCCTCATTGCAGAAAGACAGCATAGAATCACATCTTCTGAGAAAGTCCAAAGCTGATGATGATTCATGGAGTCATGTCATAGAAGCTCTTTTAATTGGCAGTGGGACTTCCTCTGGTATTGTTGATTGGCTTTTGCAGGAGCTTTTAAAGGACAAATTGCAGCTATGGTTATGTTCTAGATCCAAGGAAACAGGTGATCGGTCAGTCTGCACCATGTCCAAGAAGGATCAAGGAATAATACACATGGCTGCTGGATTGGGCTTTGAGTGGGCCTTAAATCCAATTTTAAACCATGGTGTCAGCATAAATTTCCGAGACATTAACGGGTGGACTGCTCTCCACTGGGCTGCTCGATTTGGAAGGTAAATGAGAATCTTACTGACTTTTGTACACTATTCTCTTTCTCCCTTTTGCAATTAATCTTTAACAAATCATTAAGGATTATAACGTTGCCAAGTTAAAGGGGTGTCGCTGTTACATCTTATACAGACTGCCTTTTTTATGCATCAAACTTATTTAGTGTGAATTTTTATTTTTTCTTCTTAACAGAGAAAAAATGGTTGCTGCACTTATAGCTTCTGGTGCCTCTGCTGGGGCAGTAACAGATCCAACCTCACAAGATCTAAGTGGAAAAACTGCAGCATCTATCGCTGCCTCCAGTGGACATAAGGGACTTGCAGGTTATCTTTCAGAGGTGGCTCTGACTAGCCATCTTTCATCCCTTACACTGGAAGAAAGTGAGCTTTCCAAAGGCTCTGCTGCAGTTCAGGCTGAAATGGCTGTGAATAGCATCTCAAAGGGGAGCCTTGCTACCAGTGAGGATCAGCTTTCACTTAAAGATACCTTGGCTGCTGTCCGGAATGCAACTCAGGCAGCTGCACGTATACAAAATGCTTTCCGTGCACATTCTTTCAGGAAACGACAACAGAAAGAAGTTGCTGCTACTGCAGCTAGTGTAGATGAGTATGGTATCAGTTCAGATGAAATTAAAGGTCTTTCTACTATGTCAAAGCTAGCTTTTGGAAATGCCCGTCATTACAATTTAGCTGCTTTATCCATTCAGAAGAAATTCCGAGGCTGGAAAGGTCGCAAAGATTTTCTGTCTCTTCGCCAGAAAGTTATAAAAATACAGGTATCTTACTATTTATCAGAATTTACTAATTTGTAAAGATACAGGTAATTTTCTGGCACTTCACCAGAGAGTTGTAAAGATTTTATTCTCCTCCCTCCCCCCCCCCCCCCCCCCCCCGCGGGTCAAATCCTTATATACCATGTTGGTGATGGAGTGTTTCAAAATTGTTGTCTTTGCTTTTTATATCAGGCCCATGTGAGAGGTTATCAGATCAGGAAGAATTACAAGGTAATCTGTTGGGCTGTTGGTGTTCTAGATAAGGTTGTACTTCGTTGGCGCCGGAAAGGTGTTGGCTTGCGAGGTTTTCGTAGTGAGCCAGAGCCCATTGATGAAAGTGAAGATGAGGACATTCTCAAAGTGTTCCGCAAACAGAAGGTGGATGTAGCAGTTAATGAGGCTCTCTCACGTGTGCTGTCTATGGTTGATTCTCCAGACGCACGTCAACAATATCGCCGCCTGCTTGAAAGATATCGCCAAGCCAAGGTAAGTTGACCAACTGCTTTGAATCATCTGTTGATTATAGAATTTGTGATATTGGTAATGGAGTGGCCACATAAGATTTAGTACACAGACAAACCTAAACCTACAAACTATTGCTTGTGTTATTGTTTTTGTGTCCTTGCTTTGGAACTTATTTTGCCATGGGATTACAATTCTGAATCTATTCAATTGTTCTTGCAGGCTGAACTTGGTAACACAAATGAACCAGCGGCATCAACTTCTCTAAGTGATATTGATGATATGGAAAGTGATGATTTTTTCCAGTTCCCGTAGGAGCACCTTCTGATCACCCTAACTTACCTTCTTCCTCTTGAACCTAATTTGATAGTTTCCTGGATTTGTATAATAGTCTGCATTACACCATGGTTGTAACTTAGATTGATTTGCCCATTTTCCATGCAGTTATGCTTATGTATATGCTTCTTGTAAGTAGTAACTACCACTGTAATTGATTTATAATGGTATTGATTGAGCTTTTATGACCTAAAATTCCCTAAAAATTCGTGGATACTGATATTTGGAGGACATTAGAGTTATGGGAAACTTCATCTCCTTTCCAATTTTGGCAAAGAGAATGCATTTGAAAATTTGTCGTGTAAAAGATTAAAAGTAGATTAAAAGCTGCTATTATAAATTTTAATTAATTAAGAACCTTCTACAAGAAAAAAAATGATTTTCTGACTTAGTCCACGGCCAGAACTAGGCCTTTTAGAACACATTATGGGCCAAATGCCAAGTGACCTACCAGAACTTTCGTTTAACTTTTGGAAGTTCTGCCTCCCACCTGTCATTCAAAGCTCCAAGGCAAATTTCCATCTCTCAACATATCAAATGGAATCAAGTGAAGATATAGAGCTGATCAATCTGGCAATCCAGAAACTCATAGAAGAAAAGAGAATCAAAGATACCTCTGGGTATAAATTCTCTGAAGACGATGATGATCAGCTCCTCTCCAGATTGCTCTCTCAGGTAGGTACATGACAAAACAATTCAATTCATAGGAATCAACCAGAACCTCGTCTTTTCATATTTGGCAAAATTCCTTTCCTTTTCTCCTAAATAAGGCAGGATGTGCATAGAATCTCCAATCCCATAGTTTTAAATCCCCAGTAAGATGGATTTTTCTTGTCTATATTACTCTTTAACCAATTCAAATGGTCTGGGTGTCCGATCTGATGCGACGTTTTACATCATGGGAAAAAAAAGATATTGATTTTGTTGTCTTACTTCTGTTTGAACAGTTAGAATCATTAAAAGGAGATATCACGCTGAAGCAATCTGAACTAGAGGTAACTTCTCGAAGGGTTGATAAAGCAGAGGCAAAAAGTGAAAATGGCAGTCAAGTGGACAGTGGATGTGGGGAAATTGGTGTAGAAGAGATAGTGAAAGAGCTTAAAGCGATTAAGAAGCAGAATACAATAACCCATTGCCTTCTTTCATTGATAATTGTTGTCACTGTAACCTGGCAACTCTCTGAGGTTTCCCTCTTTCTCAAAGTTAAAAATGGTTTGACTCACCCTTTTAGATCATTTGGGAGAGTGCTTGTGGGTATGCTGTCAAGTCCTGTGATTAATACCCATGAAGCTGAGAAACATAACCTTAATCACCTTGTTGACCCTTCGCTCCCTTTCGTCAATATCACTGACCTTCCACATTTGGGATCAAGCAGTGAACACTAAGCCTGAGCCATTGAAGGTTTCGTCCATGACAGTTTATGACTGGTTCAAATTCAATCAGTGGCGAAGAAAAGCAGTAAAGTGGAGTGAAATGCAAATTTGTTTCTTTTATTTCTTTATATTCTGTTGAAATGCAAGTAGTAAAGTAGGATTCGAGAAATCAAATTTTATAGAAACATTTCGAATTTGGGTTTCAAGGAATAAGAGATATTTCATTTGTCTTCCAAATCCGATACATGTACATTGCCGCTGCACATAGTTATCAACGTTAGTGAATTCAACCAGAAAAACAGAAACATCTGTGAGGGTTCATTCCTCTGCAAACCCCAGTGGGAGCTTGATCATCCATTATCGATAAAACTGATGTCAGTTCCACCATCAATTTCCTGTAATTAAATATAATTGCTAGAGAATACTAATCTGTAATAGCAAAGCTTTAGATACCAATAAATCCATCTTTAAATCTGGAGAAAAAGGTACCAAAATTAAGTAATAAACAACCCAATTTTTCAAGCCAAGGCTCCAGAGCTCTGCACAAACAGGGGTCAATCCCTTGAATGAAAATAAGGAAACAAAAAGAGACCATTTTCCGTAGACCTACAACTGCAAATATCTATGATTCATTGACGGAAAATCTGTTTCTGAGAGCCATAATCTTTAACTAAAACAAGTCTTTAATCGATTCATAAGATAGCATCTTCACCAACTCAACCAATCACAACAAAGAAGACTCTGAAATATGGAGGCATAGGAAATCATAACGAAACATGAAACATAATCAACCCAAAAACAATTTTCCATTTTTCATTTAAAATGCCTAAAACTGAACACAGAGATAAACTTTTTTTTTTTTAAATCCTTGACATTGTATTCCCATCCCTTGATTAATCACAGTGATTGTGTCTTCACGTGTAGTTCAACCTGAATATGTCATTCAACACATAGAAGCTTCCCTGTGCTGTTGGCATCAAATGAAACATCTAAGAGTAGAAAGCAAAACAAGATATCTCAGTTAGTAAAGTAGATAACAAAAAGAAGTCAATGTATCAGATCCGACGCATTGGTAGATGAGAAATCTATTAATTTTATAAATAGAAGATAAAATCATGCCCTTAGAAACAAAAACATGTATTGCACAAATAATTAGGACAAAATAGAATGGTTAACTATAAATATAGATAAAACTATATATATTTGCTCTACAAGAAAGTAAGGCATAAGCCACAAGGATATCATCAATGTCTCCTGGTGAATTTTCTTTTACATGCTGCACACTGCAGAGTCTCAAAAAACAACATTGAAAGAGATGCTAGATTATAGTTCAGAGAGTAAGCAATGAGAGTATCCACTGTCAATTAATCATGCAAAAAATGTAATTAGGCAAGAAAAAAAAAATACTAGCAAAGGCTTGCCTAGCATATAACAAACATCAGGAACAGAAGAAAGCTCTTGATTGCCGTATATGGTAATCATACAATTGTTTACAACTTGGCATCCTAAGTCATGGGCATAGGAATATCCAGAACCCAGATTCCAAATAATTGCCATAAATAATCACTATGAACATGTGAATATGCAGAGCCTCATAGAGCATTAAAAAAAATAGAAAACAACAAGTTGTTTCGGCAAGATGGTGGATCCAAAAATATCCATATCTTTCACAGTGTAATCATGACACAGTTTGATGAAACCGACAATGTTCACTGCATCGATTATCATACACTTAATTCCCCTCAATTCAATTACTATAGATTCAAAGTGATTACAAAACATGCAATTACTGAAAATGTAATGAGCAGTAAGCATTTATAACATCACAGTTAACTGGATTATTAAGATCATGAAGAATAAATCAAAATCCCATTGATTCAACCAGACTCACAGCAGATCAAAAACTCACTTAAAAGACCCATCACCAAGGGAGTAGATTAGCGCTATCGATATCATCGATCACAAAAGTACACATCAAAACCCTAAAAACCGAAAAAGGAAAAGAAAAAGAGAAAGGTGCAAAGACATAAGGGAGTTACCTGGCTGAACTTGAGAGCATGCTGTTCGCCGGCGAGTTGGAGGGTACCACTGACGAAGACGAGCACACCACCAGCGCCGGAAGGCTGGCAATCGACGGTGGTGATATTGTGCTGGCACTGCTGGAAAGGAAGGCCAACGAGCTTAGCCACGATGTTCTGAGAGCCTAGGATCTTTTGACCTTCGAAGGTCAACATGGAACCATCCTGGTAGAGATTGGCTAGACCAGCCCGGTTCGAATCGAATGTCGAGTAGTAGTGGTCGACGAACGCCTTGGCTACTGCGTCTGGATCCATCTAATTTCTTTTATTCTGAGCGATGGCTTCCAAATCACGCTAGAGAGCAGGCAGCCAAAGGGAACTAGAGAAGATTAAAGAGGAGAGAGGGAATTTCTTATAGGTATATATAGGAGGATTGATCTAACGGCTGATTTTGAATCAAAAAAATATCCAACAGTTGGCTGCCTGCTTGTTCTTTTATTTGATTTTCATTTTTGATCGGTCAGTGTAGACGCTCCTCGTTTATACACCCTCTTTACTGTCTATCAACCAGCGGTCGCTCTTTGCGTCAATTTAACCCAGCCAAACCTTTTTTTTTTCTTTTTTGTCAATTTTATTTTAACAAGTTTTCAAAAGCAACAAGATTTTTTTATTAAAAAAATTAAATTATAATTATTATAAACAATGAATTGTGGACTTAAAACTTCACAAACAGTTTAGGAGCTCAATTAATAATATATGGATTATTTAAAAATATGTTTTTTAATATACACATAAATTTTAATTAAAATTTTTCCATCACACAGGGAGGAGAATAATCCAAAGTAATTTCTTTATCCTTTAAAAATTGAAGTAAAGTGAATTAGAGCTATTGATGTGAAAAATAAGTGGTGAGCGACAAGGGAAGTGGAGTAGGTCCCGAGGTTGATGTCCTAGTAGAAATCGGGGGCCCATATCCAATGCACAATATCAGACATGTTTCTGGGTCATTTCATTTCAAGTGTTTTTCATCTATGGTTGTCGCCATGCCATCCTTGTGAGAATTATTATTATTACAAGTGCACTGCAGTGGAGGGTTCATCTCCATCCCCCGCATCCGCATGAACTCTTAATTATGGCTATTCATTCAAGTGCACACTTCTTCTCCTACAGTGCAGGGCCGTTTTGTTAATCTTGTTTGTAAATAGTTAAACAGATTCTTGCAAAAATAGCCCAAACAAATTTACTCATTGGCATTGCACAATAAAAATAAAAAGAAAAAGGAAAATTCATGCGTCGACAGCAGGGTTCGAACCTGCGCGGGCGTAGCCCAACAGATTTCAAGTCTGTCTCCTTAACCACTCGGACATATCGACTGTTGACTGAACTATGCGAATAAATTTAAATATCAAGGATATTGAACTGTGCAGCCATCTGCACAGACAATTGACCATCCATCATTTCATGTTTATCTTTTATATGTCCTTAATTATTTGATCCAAGCATTTCAAAATCATTCGATCAAATTTAATTACAAAAGAAGTGAGAAAATAAATCTAGATGGCTTTGAAAGTTAGTAAAATCATGACACTGCTCAAATTGATACATTGTTATCAACCGTACTAGTTACATGGATTCCTAGTTTCAACAGACTCTTATGCTGAGAAGCATTAATGTACAAGGACCAAGGTGCAATCTCCCCTCTGATGCTGAGAAGCAGCAATCTTCAATTCTTTCAACTGAATTGGTCACTGTGGGACAATAAATCACGTCCACAGAAACACCAAGGTATCTTTAAATTGCCGGAGTTTTTCATTACTAATACAAGGAGGATGCAATTTCTATCATAGACTGGAGGAATAGGACTTCTTCTATCCATTTCCAAGTGGTACTTTTTTTAACCCTGAGTTGTATCAAAGAGTTTTTAGCCGCACAGTAATCTCAATTCACCAACCCTGGTGAAAGACATGGGATTGTGACCAACTTTGCAAGCCAAAAGAATCAACAAGCTTTGCTATCCGCATCCTAAAATACAAGAAAACTCAATCCCATATCCAAGCATGATTCTATGTACACTCTGCCACAAAACCTATGTTTCCCTGCAAAAATATCAAGCATCGCAAGATTTCAACAAACTGCTAAATAAAAAAACATGATGCTTAATTTTGTAAAGATTTGAGAAGTAATTGCACAGTTTCGTGAGGCTTGGAAAGAAACTAAATCTCCATAAGAAAAACCTTTTGAGGGGAAATATTCAAAAAAAAAGAAAAAAAAAAGGAGAGTTTAACATGAGGTTAAAGGAACTCACTCTTGGGAAGAATCAGAATTTATAAAGGTATCCCGAAGCATGCCAGAGTACAGGCAGTCCAATTGATTACATTGGCATGTCATGAGTAGAAGTCCTTCCAACAGATTCTGATATGATGCCTATCGGAAAAAATCGTGAAACTTCCAGGTATAATTGCTCAGCTTCAAATGGTTTTGACACATATCCATCCATTCCATACCGTAGGCATTCCTCATGTGTAGCCTGGATAACATCTGCAGTCATAGCCAAAATGGGTACATGCCAATTTGAAACATTGTTATAAGTTTCCACTGATGATTCTCTGAAGCGAATTCGATTATTGATATTCTGTTCCATATCCCGAATTCTCCTTGTAGCTTCAAACCTGCAGGGAGATGAGGAAAACACTATCAGCATTAAACATTGACAAAGTCAGAATATAATCAATTGGGAACTATTAACAACCCAATAATCTACTGAAATGTAAACAGCAGCCAGCAAACACAAGATATCAAAAAAGACTACTTCAATGCTCATCGCACCAACTAGAGAAGAATTTTTTTTCTCTTATTTGTTATCTTATTTTGTAAGGTTTCAAAACCAAATTTCCAACTCAGAATTGCATAAGAAAGTTCTAAATGCAATAAGGGCTACATACCCGTCCATTTCTGGCATTTGGATATCCATGAAACAGGCATCAAACTGGTGAGGTGGTGTAAGCAGTTCAATAGCCTCTATTCCTCTTGCAGCAGTAACCACATCAGCTCCGTATTTTTTCAATGCACCAGCAGCTACTTTTAGGTTCACATTGTTGTCATCTACAATTAGAATTTTTTTCCCAAGAAGAAGATTCCGGAGAGACAAGCTAGGTAACTCCCCATTACGGGGATTCCCTTTGTTCCCAACACCCATGGCTCGTTGTAGAGATGCCGCTAACATGCTAGCCCTCAAGGGCTTTGGGATGATGGTCAAGTTACAAACGCCAGAAGTAGTAGCATTTGCTCTGGAAGAGCTGATAGAATTAGACAAAAGGAATACCTTTGGAAGCGTATTATTTTCTGTTTTCTCTAAGTTATTGATGAAGAGAGCTGAACTGTTTAGATCTCCATCCCAAACTTCCTGTTCAATGAGAACCATGTGGATAGCGTTACCCCCACTGCTTATGATAGATAAACCTTTTTTCCAATCAGAAACTACTTCAACATGAATTCCAAGCCGTTGGATATGATATCTTGACACCTTGGCCCGGACAGGTTTAGGATCCATAACTAATGCTCTCATCCCATGAAACTCTGAGGAAACAGAGTTAGACTGGTTGTTGATTTGCTGGCTCTTGTACTCCTTTGAACTAGAGGAGCCACCGGTGAAAACAGCAGTAAATGTAAAGGTAGACCCTATCTTAGGAATGCTAACAAAACCAATTTCTCCTTTCATTAGATTGACCAAACGCTTGCTTATGCTTAGTCCAATGCCCGTGCCCCCATGTGTTCGAGAAATAGAAGGGCCCACTTGCATAAAACGGGTGAAAACACGAGACTGTGCTTCTAAAGGAATTCCTTCTCCTGTATCTTCAACTGATACTATAAGATTAATGCTGTCAGAGGAAGGATGCATGGGTCCTTCTTGACTGAAACTGCTAAATCCTTCCCAGCTCCAGCGTCTATCTGCAACGGGAAAACCACTCAAGGTATTATTTGATAAAGGTTCTGTCTCAACTTCTATCAAATCAATCACCTCCTCCACAAGATGAACTGTAACAAGAATGTGCCCTTTCTCTGTGAACTGCACCAAATAAAGTAATTAACATAAGTTTATTGCTACTAAAGCATAATCCAGATAAAACCGAACTTAAATTGAAGCTTCTGGCTCCCTAGTTTTCTAGAAGCAAAAAGAGGGGAAAATATTCAAAGATTCTAACTAGTAAGTTTCAGCATTCATATTTATAATGACTTTATTGGGTACATAATAAAGTCATGAAACCATTCAACAAAACAAAAACTTTTAGATCCACATGCTTGCAATGTGTTAATTATTCTTCCTTGGATACAAAGGAAGAGAGTTTTAGATACAAGGGATAATGTTCAAATTTGAAAATAGATTGGTCAGACATACGCCTCCCATCTCTTGCTAATAGCATATAAAATTAAAATTACAAGAAAAAAAAGTCCCAACAGTTTTATATTCATTAAATTGAGAACCAACTACATACTTTAATCGAGTTTCCCATGAGATTGGTGATGATTTGTCTGAATCTCCCAGGATCACCAATTAGCATCTCGGGCACTCGATCAGAAATGTAAACTGCCAACTGCACTCACCCACAAATTGATTATACAAAATGAATATACGTTAGAATCTTGGATGAACATCACATGAGGGGAAAAAGAGAAAGAAAAAGAGAGAGGAGAGAAGAGGATGGAAGGAATAGGGTGAGTCAGTGAGATATAGGTATCTCACCTCTACTCCTTTCTCCTGAGACTTCCCAGATAAGAGTGACAACACATCATCCAAGACTGCTCGTAGATCAAACTGCACTTCCTCAAGCTCTAGCTTACCAGATTCAATCTTAGCCTGATCCAAAACCTCATTTATAAGTGCAACCAGAGCCTTTCCACTAGCTTGTGCAATTCTGACATGATCTAGTTGGGTAACATCTAAATTCGTGTCCATAAGCATTTGCAACATTCCTGCAAAAAAAAAATGTCTCACTGTCATGACAAAGTAAACCGTATTCTGTCCTAGTTATTTGAATTTAACTTTCTGAGCATAAATATACATTGCATAGAAATAACTTCAGGGAAATAAATGAAAGCTTCGAGACTAACCCAAAACACCATTCATTGGGGTTCTGATCTCATGGGAAACAGTAGCAAGGAACTGCAAAACGGTCACAATTAAATAGGACCAATTGTCCATAACAGGTCAGAATTAATAGAGTATAAATCAGATATGTTATATACCTCAGATTTGGCAACATCAGCTGCTTCAGCCCGTTTTTTGAGCTCCATCATCTTATGGCAATCATCCTCCACCTTGGCAATTCGATTAACAGTAGCATGGAATATATGCCCAACAAGTAATGCTATCACAAGGATGCCGATTGAAGTGGTTATTGCTAACCATGGCCATGGTGGCTTTTGCTTAAACCTATAGGAAGGAACAAAATTACTCCATGATTTATATTCAAGTTACTTACATTCGGAATGTTTTTACAAAAGAGGAAAAAAGAACTTAGAACCTCTTATAGATTAAGTTACCCGG